TTTTTTTGGAGAGGATTTTGCTATAGGGTGCATGCACTCGCCAGAAAGAGAGACAGAGACAGAGAGACAGAAAGCGAGAAATCACCCCCCAGGGGGGATGGTCACGCCGCAATCCCTTCTCCTCCATTCTCCTCTCGGGATCTTGGGCATGCATGCACACGTGCCTGGTGTGAGTTTAAGCCCCCGGGTCTGGGACTCAAACCACGGTCGACTATAGGGGAGTCCAGTGACAGCCGTTACGCTAACTGCTGGTCCCTGAATAGTTTTTTAAAGTGGTTTCCGTGCCTGTTGGCGATGTATGAAGGTTCCAGTTGCTCAGCATCATTGCCAGCACGGGGCGTTGTTGGCGTTGTTGGCTTTCACCTCTCACTCTCTGAAATGATACCCCACTTGGATTTCTCTGATAATTAATATAGTTGTGTGCCTCTTCACACATTTCTTGGCCACTGGAGTCTCTTTCCGAAGTGTCTTTTCAGGTCTTTGGCCTACTCTTGTATTGGTGTCTGTATTTTTCTTACAACCTTGTGGGTGGTTTATGGATCCTGGATGGGAACGTTTTGCCCGTTGTATGTTTTCCCAGCACAGCCCGAGCTTTTAATGCACTGGGGTCCCTGTAGAACTTTCCTGTTCTCTCATACACACAGCACAGTAGAATAGCGTGGATTCCCTGTTAGCGGACAGCCCACCCATGGCTGGGTCAGGATGGTGGGTTTTTCTTCTTATGAGAAAGAAGGGGAGAGAGAGAAAAGGAGAGCGAGGTATTTTTTGATATGATCTCTCCATGTCCTGGTCCTTCCACCCCGCCCTCCCAATTAGCTAGGACTAGTGGCGTGCTCCATGCATTCAGGTTGATCTGGAAACCAAACCCAGGTCTCTTACGTGGATTCCAGCCTCCCTAGTGACGGTGCTGTTTGTGCGCTACGGCAGCTGGGGCTGGGTGAGAAACCGTCTGTCTCCTATTTCTTGGTACTGGGTTATGACAGAATGCCCTTTCTCTTAATGCGCAGGGTCCTTGTGGGTGCTCCAAAAGCAGATTCCAAATACAGCACTTCCGTGAAGTCCCCAGGGGCTGTGTTTAAGTGCCGTGTCCATACCAACCCTGACCGGAGATGCACCGAACTGGACATGGCTCGAGGTGGGTAGATGTGGTTGCTAAAGTGGACATGCATCCTCCACCGTCACCCTTCACTCCTTTTCTTCCTAGCGTGGTCTGATGTTCACCCACCCACCCATCCGTCCCTTCTCCCCTCCCTCCAACAACAGGTATTGAGTACTTGTAGGCCCTGGGTTATCATGAATGAAAAACCAGGATCCTGTCATCCTGGGCCTTGGAAATTAATGGGCAAAAGACATTAAAACAAATAATTGAGTGAGAGAAGGCCAGAGAAAAGGTGGGTATTCAACCTAATCTAGATGGGAAGGCCAGAGGAGGTCTTTCCCCATGATTGATGGGGTATGGAATAGTTAGCTGGGTGGGTAGAGGCAAGACCTCCAAGCAGAGGTGTGCCATCTTGAAGCACCTAGCGAGGACAGTGTAGTTGGAGTGGTAAGCAGAGGAGAGTGGAAGCATTGGAGGTGGGCAAGGTAGGCTGGGGCTAGATCTCACAGTACAGAGGGAGCTAGGGTAAGGTGTTAGGATTTTTTTCTGTGTACCGTGGGGAGGCCATTAATATCCATTTCATGTTTACTATTTTAAGGAGGGATAGATGTGATTGGGGGGATGTTTTTAAAAGCTCACTTTTGGTCTAGTGGAAAATACCTCTTTGGAATTAAATGGATCAGTCTAGGTTCAAAGCTCACTTGTGACTTACTGGGAATGTCTTTGGGACTTCTGGTCTCATACCTGTAAAATCAAGACAAGGAAGATGCCTACTTCACAAAGATTGCTTTGAGAAGGTTAAGTGAGGTAATAGAGATGAATACAAAGAACCTTGCTTAGCACATAATAGGTACTCAATAATGGGATGAGTTTATAATCACTATCACTTTAAGTCCTCACTTCAATGTCTTTTCCAATCAAGATCTTTTTTTTAAAAGAATTGTTTCATTTTATTTATTATTCTCATTTTTAAATTTGCTATCAGACAGATGTGCCCACCAGAGAGGGGGTGAGTGAGAAAGCAAGCTGCCAGGTCCAGGACTCTGAACCACGGCTGGCCATATGGGAGTCCAGCACCTTAACCCCCACACCACCTGCGGCCCCCCAAATCCAGATCTTTTCATTGTTATATTATTTAAATAATAGAGTTGTCATGCCATTTTATTTTTATAAACATAAGAGAACTGGGACCAGCAGTTAGCATAATGGCTATGTCGCTGGACTCCCACGTAGTCAACTGCGGTTCACGTCCCGGACCCGGTGGCTTAAAACTCACGCCGGGCGCGTGTGCGTGCATGCCCAAGATCCCGAGAGGAGAATGGAGGAGAAGGGATTGCGGCGTGGCCATCCCCCTTGGGGGATGATTTCTCGCTTTCTGTCTCTCTGTCTCTGTCTGGCGAGCGCACGCGCCCTATAGCAAAAACCTCTCCAAAAATAAAAGAATTGTATTAGCTATACCAATATAAGGCAGAATACACTTAAATATAAGGATTAGTAGAAATAATACCCTTCATTATGTAAAAAGTTAATACAAAAGGAAGCTTCAGCTATAATTGCAGATAAAACTAACAATGCAGTCCCCAAATATAGCAAAAAGTAACAGAACTGAAAAAAAAATAGGACAATTCAATAGTAAAATTGTGTATTTTAATCCTTGACTCTCAACAATGCATGGGAAAACTATGCATTAATATGAGGAAGGACGCACAAGATTTGAACAGCCATGTCAACCATTTTAACTCCAGTAGTAGAATACACATTCTCTACAGGCACACATGGAGCACTTTTGTTTTTTTTTAGAATTATTTTATTTAATTTCTTCATTTATTTTAACCTGAGAGAGACACACACACACACACACACACACACACACACAGAAGGGGGGGGGAGTGAGAAAGCAAGCCACCAGGTCCAAGACTCGAACTGTGGTCAGCCATGTGCGAGTGTCCAACACCTTAACCACCACCCCACCTGCTGGCCCCATACACATGGAACATTTTCTAACACAAACCATATGTAACCTACAAAGCATGTTGTAACCTTTTTTTGTTTGTTTTTAAAATTATGCCAGGGGGCACTTTCACCCACCAGGGAGAGAGCGCGCATGAGTGAAAAGGATAACGAGGAAGCATCCTTCTTGGGGAATGGCCATGCTGCAGTCTCCTCTCCTCTGTTTCTCCCTGCCTTAGGGGTTTTGGCGTGTGCATCCGTACATGCCAGGCATGTTTCTCAAGCTGCTGGGTCCGGGACTCAAACCACACCATCAGCTATATGGGATCCAGCTGCTTTATTTATTTATGAGAGATTTTTGCTATAGGGCACGTGTGCTCGCCGGAGAGACAGACGGAAAGTGAGAAATTGCTCCCCAGAGGAGATGGCCATGCCTCAGTCCCTTCTCCATTCTCCTCTTGGGATCTTGGGCACGCACGCAAATGCAACTGGCATGAGTTTTAAGCCTCTGGGACTGGGATTTGAACTGCAGTTGACTACATGGGAGTCCTGCAATGTAACCATTACATCATCTGCTGGTCTCCCTAACCTTCTATTATTTTATTTTATTTTATTTATTTTTGCTAGAGGGCACACTGCATTACCCAGAGAGACAGGAAGATAGGGAGAGGAGAAAACACCCAGCATGCTCAGCGGTCTTACTGCAGTCTCCATCTCTCTATCCCCTTGGGATTTAGAGCGCGCGCGCACACACACACACACGCACACACACGTGCCTGGCATGTGTCTCAAGCTGCTGGGTTCAGGGTTCACACTGTACACTGTGCAGTCAGCCATGTGAGAACCAGCTGTCTTCATTACCAGGTCACAGAACCAGCCTGCAGGTCTTAACTCAGCTGAACCAGATGCTGAGGCGGACTGGGGCTGGCATGGCCAAGAAAGCCCTTTGCGGGTTGGACTGATCGTGGAAAGGCGCCTTGGCCGGGCTCCCTCTTGGCCAGCCGGTCAGGAAATACACAATCCTTGCAGAGCTGCAGGTGCCGGGGAGCCTGGCTGCCACAACCCCATCTGTCACACTCAGTGGCCCGGGCCAGTTGCCTGCCTCCCACACTGCTACTGGTTGAGTCGGTGGTGTTGGCAGCAATGACAGTGGCAACTCAGGGCATCTGCCCTCCAGCCAGGCCAGGCCGATGCTTTGCTATGAAGGCACTCCTCAGCCGATGGGGCCAAGTATCTGTCATGGTTTTCTTTAGCAGAAAAAGGAGGTAGCCCTGGTGTTCTCCAGTGCTAATCAGAACAGTTGCTTTGTGAACTGTCTGTACGTAACAAATGAAGGAGCTTGCTTCAGAACCTGAGTCCATATACCATGAAAAAAAAATGGCTGAACGGAACAGCCTACATAGTGATGAGTTGATTTACATTTTATTGCAAATTCAGTGTCTCACAGGTAACAAACATTTGGGCCAGGGGCCACCTTTGAAAAGCAGCTGGCAGAACGTCACTCCTCAACCCAAGTTTGACTTTTTTCTTTTTCCTCCAGGGAAGAATCGTGGCATGTCCTGTGGAAAGACCTGCCGGGAAGACCGGGATGATGAGTGGATGGGGGTGAGCCTCGCCCGGCAGCCCAGAGCTGATGGCCGTGTGTTGGTAAGGCCTTCTGGGGGTGCCATGGGAAGGGAGTGGCACTCGGAATGAATGACTATGCTCTGTCAGGAAAAGCCAGATGGCGTGAGAGAAGGGCATGGATTTGAGGTTGCTTGTTCTAGAGTATTGTGTAGACAAATGACATGTCTTTTTCTTTCGTGTATCTGTGAAGTGTTAATAATTTCACTTCCAGGGTGCTGGGATGTGGCTATTCAAAAATGATTGGTTTTCAAACGATTGAAAAGGGATGTTTTTAAAATTGAATGCTATTGGGGACCAGTAGATGGCATAATAGTTACATTGCTGGGCTGCCACGTAGTCGACCATGGCTCGAGTCCCCGACCTGGAGGCTTGAAACTCATGCCAAGGCACGGGTGGCTAAAATTTCAAGAGGAGAGTGGAGGAGAAGGGATTGCAGTATGGCCATCCCCCCCTGGGGGGGTGATTTTTCACTTTTCGACTGTCTCTGTCTATGGTGAGCACATATGGCCTATAGCAAAAACAAAACAAAACAAAGCAAAAAGTCTCTCTCTCTCAAAAAAAAAAAAAGATAAATTGAATGCTAACTAAAACAAATATGAAAAGTAATTTGTAAATCTCGTAATTTTTTGTGCATTTTTTTAAAATAGTGATATAATTTTCATAAAATGTACACATTTTGGCCCAGCGGTGTGGTGTGTTCTGAAGACACTGTTGCTCCACAGGCTGAGGCCACATAGGAGGTGCAGGTCAGTTCCTGGCCCACCCTGAAGCCAGGTGTGAAGTGTGCATGCCTGTAGTCCCAGCTACTTAGGAGCCTGAGGCAGGAGGATAGTGATGTAGTGAGAGCCTGTCTGTCTTCTGAAAACAAAACAAAATAAAAAAACAACAAAACACAAAATGAAAAATCACCTTAAACCTTAAAATTACAGTTTAGGTTTTGCCAGTTCTGCACAGCTGTGTAACCACAGCCCCACCCTCCACCCCCACCCAGATATAGAACATTTCTCTCTTCCCCAAAGTCCCCCTTGCCTGTCAACTCTCCCCACCTGTGCCAACCACTGCCATGATTTATTACCACTCTTGCCTTTTCTAGGACTTCATAAAAATTGATCCCTATACTGTGTGCTCTTTTGTGTAAGGATTCTTTTATTTAAACTAATACTCATGGGGGCCCGCAGGTGGCATGGTGGTTAAGGTGCTCGACTCCTATATGGCTGACTGTGGTTCTAGTCTGAAACCTGGTCACTTTTTGCTTAGTCACTTTCTCTCTCCCTGGTGAGCTCATGTATCCTATAGCAAATTAAAAATATAATTAAAAATTAGGTAATTCTTAAAAAAAAATACTTTTGGGATTAATCGACATTGTGTGTATCATATTGGATCATCAGGAAAGTCATGACAGATTTTTGCAGGGGCAAACATAGAAAATACATCATGACTTTCCTGATGACTTAGTAGTTCATTTCTGTTTATTCCTACATGGTATTACATTTTATAAAACACATGTCACCCTTTTAAAAGTCATTATTTTTAAATTTGACCAGAAAGGGACAGAGAGAGAGAAAGTGAGAGAGCAAGCCACCAGCACCAGGACTCGAACTGCAGTCAGCCACTGTGGAGTCCAGCGGCCTTAACCAACACACCACCTGCCTGCCCCTCCACCACCCTTTTTAAATTGCAGAGGGAATGTATTCTCTAGAGAGAGCAAAGGAGAGGAAGAGTGTGCCCCCCAAAGGGGTGTGGTCATGCCATATCCCTTCTCCTCTGTTTCCCCATCCTGTCAGGATTTTAGGCACACACACACACATGACCAGGGTGTTTTTTAAGCTGCTGGGGCCAGGACTCAAACTGGGTGATCTGGCCCTCTCTGACTAAGGCTTAACTACTCTGCTGTGGGTCCAGCCCAATATGTGTTACTTTATGTTACTTAATTTGGCAGAGGACATGTCTACTCACTGGAGAAAGAGACAACAGAGAGACAGGGGGAGAGAGTACTCCTCAGTGGAGTGTGATTGCTTCAGTCCCTTCTCCATTTCTCCATCTTTTTGCAATGTGGGGTATGCCTACGCATGTTCCCAGTATATACTTTTCAAGTTGCTGGGTCTGGGATTGGATCCACATGGTCAGCCATGTGGGCTCCAGCTCCCTTAACCACCAGGCCATGGGGCCACCCCAATATGTATTATCTTTAATTGCTTGGCTTCCACAGTGCATGTGGTGCATTCTGATCCCTAGGTGCTTTGGGGGAGGTCCAAAGAAAAAGAAGCCTTTGCCTTCAGAATTCTTGATATTCCTAGAGCTGCACTCCTAATAAGGCAGCCATCAGCCACACGCAGTTATTTAAATTTATCAGAATGTAAAAATCGGGTTTTCAGTTACATTAGCCACTTTTTTTTTCTTTTTTCTTTCTTTCTTTTTTTTTTTTTTTTTTATTAAAGGTTTTTTGCTATAAGGCACACGTACTCACTGGAAAGAGAGAGAGGGAATGTGAGAAATCACTCCCAGGGAGGAAGACCATGCCACAATCCCTTCTCTATTCTCTTCTTGGGATTTTGGGTATGCACACACATGTGCCCACCTGATTGCCAAGCCGCCAGGTCCAGGACTCAACTACACTGGCGGCCATGTGGGAGTCCCACGCCTTAACCACCACGCCACCTGCTGGCCCCACGTGAGCCACGTGACAGGTACTCAGGAACCCCGTGTCACTGCTGTCTGCTATATCAACGTGCAGAGAGAATTTCCATAGTGGCAGGAAGTTTTACTGGCCTCAGCAACAACAGAAAATGCAATTTCTAACTGCCCTAGGAAGTTGGCTTTGGTCTGTGTTTTAGTAAGGAACTTAAATGCACAACTTAAGTGCCCAGCTTGGTGCTGAAGGTTTTCACACACACGCCCTCATGTACCCACTCTGCCCACCCAGATGCGCCCCCTACCTCTCCCAGCCAGTCCCTCTCTTTCTCAGATAATTCTGACTCAGTAGGCATTTTCTTGCTATTGGCTTTTTTTTTTTTTTTTTTGAAAGCTGAATGAAAATTTCTGCTATAAAAGCCTAAGATCAAGAAAGGAAAAGAATGGGTCACGCCACGCTGGTGGCGTGGTGGTTGGAGCGGCTGGATTCCACGTAGCTCACCGCGTGGTTTGAAGCCTAGACCGGGTGGCTTGAGAAACACACCGGGTGTGTGCACGTGTACCCAGAATCCTGGAAGGCGGATGAGATGGAGGAAAGGGGGTTGTGGTTTCATCATTCCCCATGGAAGGTGCTGCCTTATCCCTCCCACGCCCCACTGCCTGCGAGCACTTGAGCCCTCCAGCACAATTCTTAAATAAAAGGGAGGAAAAGAACCCCACTGCCACTCTGCCACTTGTGGAAAGCTTCCTTGGGACCAGCAGTTGGCGTAATGGCTATGTCGCTGGACTCCCATGTAGTTGACCACGGTTCAAGTCCCAGACCCGATGGCTGAAACTCATGCTAGGTGCGTGTGCGTGCATGCCCAAGATCCCGAGAGGAGAACGGAGGAGAAGGGATTGCGGCATGGCCATCCCCTCTTGGGGTGTGATTTCTTGCTTTCTGTCTCTCTGTCTCTGTCTTTCTGGCGAGCGCATGTGCCCAGTAAGAAAAAAAACCTCTCAAAAAAAAAAAATAGAAAGTTTCCTTTGGGTCACATGCTGTAAACGGAGGGTTTCTCTTCTGTATTAATCCTGGGAAACAGGCTTTACTTAAGGACCCGGGAGAATGTTTCTGTCCCCTCTCTGAGGAGCCCACTCTGGGGCTCAGTTTCTTCCTGTTAGGAGCTGGTCATCTGCATTCCACTCTCAGCACTGAGTAGCTCCCCTCGTCGGGCCCCTCCGGAGGATGCAGCTGGAAGCTGTCCCCAGCATTTTGAGGGCCTCCCTGGTGGAAAGCCTCCTAGGTCCTGCGGAGACTCCCCGGCCTGTCGTCCGCCTTGATTTCCAGCCCTTTAATCATGGTCACGGCAGGCCCTGGACCCTCCTCAGACCTCCTTGCATGGAGGCCTGCCCCTGACTGCACAGCCGAGGCTCAGAAGGGCCAGAACTCTTGTCTGCCATTCTGAGGGGAAGGAAGTGGAAAAAGAATTCATCTATAAATCAGAGTGTCCTGAGGTCGGGATTCAGAACAGAGAGGAGGCCGTGCCCTGGTGGACCACAGCACAAGACGCTCTTAAGGGCCTTGAGCCTAGGGCCAGAGTTTGCGCCTGTGTGGACATTTTCTCCTTGTAGGCAAGGATAACCTCGATGTCGCTGAGAACTCGTTAGGGAAGTGTAAATTATAACCACAGTGTGACGAGGGGTTCTCTGTTACTTCAGATCACTATCTTTGGGATGGTCCACAGCAGTGGGGTCCACAGGGAAGATTCAGCAAGGAAAGCCAAGGCAGAGCCTGTGCATTCGTGGACGGATAATGGTGCTGTGGACAGCCCTGTCTCATTAATTGCACACAGAGCTATTTCCTCATGTTTTATATAATTATTGCATCATCATTCAATAAGCTATGCTATGCAGGAGTTCGAGAAAGAAGGGTGTCTAAAAGCATCTGCTTGCTTCACGATTTCTGTCCCAAATGTGGTTCAAAAACGAAGCATATCATTGGGGCAGCTGGTGGCAGCGTGGTGGTTAAGGTGGCTGGATCCTACATGGCTGATTGTTTGGTTCATTGCTTGGGCAATCTGAGAAATGAGCCGGTGCCTGTGTGTGTCCAAAATCCTGAAAGGAAGGACAGAAAGGGGATTGTGGTGTGACCATCCCCCATGGAGGATGCTTTCTCATTCTCTCTCTCAGGATTGTGGTTGCCCTCTGGCAAAAACTAAAAAACAAAAAAACAAAAAAAAACCCAAAACACAAAACCATAAATTTATGAACTTACCTATTTTTAAGTATATAGTATAGTAGTGTTAGCTATACGCACATTGTTTTGTAACCAACCTCTAGAACCTTCTTCATCCTGTGAGACCTATATCCATTGAAACTCTATCCATGGAAAGAAACTCTCCCTTTCCTCT